ACGCACCCCCATGTAACCATAACTATGTGACTTTCCGCTGAATTAATCTGAACAAAGTTTGATCTTACAAAGCTCTTTTTTAAAATCTTGTCGGAATCGTCTATTTGCCAGTCCATAAATCAACGGATTAATTGCACTGTTTATATACAGAGTAAAACTAACAACATTGAATGCCCTCAGAAGTATGATATTGATGGCCGCGCCAGCATGTCGCAACAGATTCAAATCGGCCCAGATAAAATAAGGTAGCCAACTCAGGATGAACACTAAGCTAGTGATGAAGAGCATCCTGGTCGTTTTACGCTGCAGGACTGCACCACCGGGCCTTTGGGGGACGTGTTGTATCCCAAAGCTCCGCCCTCGGCAGTGCAGCCTGTTTTCACAAGTAGCATGATCATCCTTCGACGTAAGTGTCTCTTGGTTGTTTTGGCTGAAACACTTCTTATTTGCCGAATTGTGAATGACATTTGGCGGTGAGTCTGCATGGTTAATTTTTGTCTGGTTGGAATGTGAAGTGCTTGGATGGTCGGAGGCAGAAGACACGTTTTTGTCGACGCCTGGATGTATCGACAGGCTCGTCATGGGCTTGTCGACATTTGCAATACCAGATTTGTCCGATTGTTGGGCTGTTTCTGGTAAATTTACGGACCACTTGCTGACACCTTTCAATGAGTCCTCGGCTGGCATCGGTGGCCCATCAACGCCAACTCTGACGTGTTTCCGTATGGTCGTGTAAACTTTTCCGTAAGACACTAGAATCGCCAGAGTCATTGGCACCAAAGCCACAGTCTCTAATGCTACCTTTGCCTTGAATAGGACGGGTTCCGACCAGTCCTTGATTCTTAAAAACGATGGTATGGCGATCACAAACGACACCACTAATGCAACACGGGCGGCTGTCTTACTCCTTCTGGGATTTAAGAAACGCCTTTGTGGGCGGCATATGCAGTCGTAACGATCCAGTGCAATGAGCATCGTGATAAAAACAGAATAAGCGACGGTCACATTACTAGTAGCGTCTATAAAACGAAAGACCAGAATGTTTTCAGCATGCTTACTAGTCAGAGCTAAGGTCACGTCAATTAGCGTGGCGAATTTCAATAAGCAGACGGTCAGATCTGCCCAAGCTAAGGCCATGATCAGGACATGGGTGCTAGTCTTACGCGTCTTGGTCCAGAAGACACGGAGGATGAGGCAGTTACCAGGCACACCAAAAAGGATCAGGAACGAGCTCACAATTACGATCGACAAGTCGTAGACGAACGAATCCTTCCACACATCGATGGACATTTCGGTAAAGTTGGAGATATTTTCCATGGTTACACTCCAAACAAAGAGTGATGACTTTATTTCTGCAGTGGGCAAAGTGCTTGCTGGTGATTAGTGGAGCACAACAAAACTCATTTCAGCTCCTTCCATGGACTGTAGTGAGCTTCAATGGCTAGAAGCCGACGCTTCAGAGGGAAGTGTTGATGTCACGGGATCCCTGATTGGTTTCTATGGTAACTATGTGGGGAAGCCTTTGCGCATTTTTTTTTGTCACATGAGTTATGACTTCGGCGGAGTATGAGACGTTTAAACTTGCTGAAATAATTCTGACAAGAATTTACAAGTGTTTATGGCAAACCTGACCGATGCAATGTAAGTGTTTAGATATTACCACGGGGCAATTCTGTCGTTGGCTAATGCGAAATGAAGATGATTTACTATGATTTTATTGATGTATGTGAAGCTAAACGCATGACACTAGCTATCAAGATTAATTATTGACCGAAACGTCAGGGAAGAAACGCCAGTAAACATTCGAGCCCCAACACACGGGGTATTTAAAGCCAATATCGAGATTAAATTTTCAGGCTTGCCACAAATTAGCTGTATAAAAGGTTTTGGACAACCTTTATTCCTGCATTGCCCATTGAATTTGAGTTTATTGCAGTGACATTAACGGGAAAATTGAAATTATGTTCTCCAATCTCTTAACTATGGTGTCCTTGTTTACCAACCCACTGAGATTTTATTGTTTTATTCAATCTTCTGATATTGCCGCCAAAACTACTTTGTAAAACATTCAGTCATATACAGTCACACACAAATTTCGCATGTGTTGATATTTTATTCATAAACACCTCGGACAATTTTTCGGGCATTAGTCGATCGCGTCCATTTTCTTGATCCGGTCTATTTGGCAAAGTACAGATAAAAGGGTTATATCCTCTTTGAACAAATTCAGAAAGTATCTGATGGGCTTGTAAGCTTGATTGAGCCCCCCCCCCGCCCCAGGTTGTAATTTGCATTTTTTTTTTCAAAAAATTATTTTTATTTTTTCTGAAAAACAAAGATAACAATGTACATATCTAAACCTTTGATACAGCCCAATTTTGAGCCCTGACTTTGTTGAACACTTTTTTAATAATAATTGCATAATTATTGTATTGCACCCCCTAGGTCCGCCGTGAGCTGAAGTGCACCCCCAATCGGCCTAGAAAGACGAATGTTTACAAGCGGATTCTTGCGCACGTTCGGCGTTTACGCGTACTCAGCCTGCTCCCCGTCCGTCAAACGTGCCATTGATCTCCATTATAAACGCGTGCCTATGCCGTGAAAAAATACGTCCTCTTTTGTTTCGCTCGGAGCGGATTGCAACCCCCCCCCCGGGGGGTCGGGAAACTACGGAAGCTTATATAGGACATGACTGAAAAAATGGGCCTATTTTGCCTTGGCGGATTAGTATTTCGCCCTTTGCGGATTAATACTTCGCCTGGGCGGATTAGTATTTCGACAGGGCGAAAAAGTGATCCACCTGGGATTGGCGTAGATCCGTGTGTTAGAATGCGGTATGATTTCCTTGGGGGGGGTGACTTAGATAGACCGTTCCGACATTTTTCCTCGCCATTTTGCCGAAGACGGTGACTTACGAAGTACACTTTCGCTCCTGCATTAAGCAAAGGCAGAGATGATCTCCGAATTAATTACCTTTTCCCCCGTAGATTATGTTGACAGGAATGTCAATGGAACTGCTTGAAAATTACCCTTATGAATCCATCAAACTTTTTAGCCATAAAACCTGAGTAAAAGCGCGTCACTTCTCTACTCTGATCGGGCGCGGGCTCAAAGTCTTGCCATCCCCCCCCAAAAAAAAAATTAACTGACTTTGTATATGATGATGAAAAGAACTCTTTCCTTGCATATTATTCTTTTTTTAGAGAAATGGAGAGAGTTTACTGAGGCTAGTTTATCACATCATATCACAGACACTTTTTATTTGCAGAAGGGAAGGCAGTTTCATACAATAAAGCTAATTATTTATAAGGATATGAAACACTTTTAATTGATGCTACTGATATTCAAAGGGACTGGAGTTGACGGCATCAATAAATGTCTGTGAATTTAATTTCTGGACCTTCAGGATATTTTTTAATACTTATGGTAATTTTAATGTAGTAATTGGTAACTTTTGTTTTTTGATCGTTTGTAATGAGCTTGTTTAGTTTGTGGAGTCCCAAGGAGAATAGCCATGTCAAATTGGCTTTTGGGACTAAGTCAACACACTTTGTTTAATGTTTAGTTTTTCCCTTTACATGCATGCATCGATATTATTCTGAGTAAAATCAGCATAATTTTGGGCTGCCATGGCAGAACGAATCTATTACTTGGATATCAAGTCTTTGACGCACTGAAACAAGCTACGTACATATTGTTTAGGAGCCTCCCTTTTGTTTCTCCTAAAAAGGGGACTTACTCGTGACAGACAGAAAGTTTAAAATTGTAAAAGTTGGTATCGTAATGCATGGGTAAATGTGCGTCCCAAGACTAATCCGCCCAGGCAAAATACTAATCCGCCCAGGCGAAATATCAATCCGCCCGAGGGAAATAGCAGGCCCAAATATTTTTTCTAGTCATGTACTACATACGCTTCCGTACGAAACGACTTACTGCAAAAACTACACATGGTGGCGTTTTCAACATGGCGACTTACATGAACACTTATACATATGTGTAGGTCTAGGTCGGTGTCAATTGTAACTGCCGTTGTGAGTATTTACAGTCCGTTTATGTGTATTGCCGCTTGCGACGTATTTTTCAATAGTTTCAACGGAACATATTTTGCCTAGTCAAAGGTACCCTGATATGTATGTGATTGATGCCTATCGCTTCATTAAAAAGGATGCAAAAGCAGGGAGAAACTTTCGTTAGTTGTGCGCAGAAAGGTGACGTGCATTCTATGCAGATATTGAGTGCTGGCAAATTTCAGGCAGACGAGATAATTGAGTATAGTCGACCTCGGTCAGGTGACAGAGCAGTCCACTTGGCCGCCAGACATGACCACGTTCGAGTGTTGGAGTTTCTGAAAGTTGAGGGTACCGATTTTGAAACTGCAAACTTGGATGGAAAAAGAGCCTTACACGAAGCGGCCGTGTCTGGGAATGGCAGTTGTGTGGCATTCTTGCTATCAACCGGTGTTCAGGTGGACCCTTTGAAAAGAGCTGACTGGTGTGTACAGTTCGTTATGTTGGTGTGCATGTAGCCCAGGTTGGACAACGTCTACACTGTACATTCCATTTCGACTAACGTCCAGGATATGAAAGTCCTTCTACTGGGCGTACGTGAAGATTTTTTCAACAGTTTTTTCTCACATTTTTACCAGTTACCTGTCGCGATTCGCGATCTTCTACCGCACAAATATGTCGTTAATGAGTTGTGACAGAAAGCGTGAAGTTTTGCAGAATTTCCTGCAAAATATGTTTTCCGCGGGCGTATTTAGTAATTTCAACACAGCTTTTATGGAATTCAGGAAACAAGGCACTTGTGAACGACATTTTGAGCTGTCTTCGTCAGGTAAAAATGTGACAAAAACTGTTGAAAAAATTTCGCATAGTAGAAGGACTTTCATACCCTGGATGTTAGTCGCAATGTAGACGTCATTGAAAAAATTTCGCATAGTAGAAGGACTTTCATACCCTGGATGTTAGTCGCAATGTAGACGTCATCCAACCTGGGCGAGTGTGCATGGAATATTTGGCTTGACAATCTAAAAACATTGTTCACTCTTTCTCTTTAAGGCCAACATGGCCAAGTAAAAAGTTGCATTTCAGGACTTATTACTTAAAGAGAGGAGATTACCCTTTTAATCTATAGAGGGTTTTCACGAGATGTAACATGACAGACAAAGGCACTTACAGGAAGTGTACCATATCCATGGAGACGCAATGTCGCATACATTTTCAAATCTGGGTATTTCTATTGGTAATTTCATGTACACAAGAATGTTGACTTCGAAGGCCCTTGTTTTCGTGCACATCTATGAAAAATGAACGCTGACTGTCAAAAATCACGTGACTAAAAATCTTCTATAAATTTCAAGTTTGGCAAATACACTTTCTTGACTTTTGCTACTGCTTTTGTTCAAGGTAAAGTAGCTCTCATCCCATTTGACAGGGTGACACGTGCATGTATACCTACATGTAGGTACCCAGGGTTATACATTTTTGTAGAAACAAATAAATCAAAACACATCTCAGGTTTTTGTTTCATTTGCTGAGAGTAGCAGAGTAACGTGGAGTTGCAATGTTTAGTTTGGTCAAATAAAAAGACACACTCCGTGGAGAGAAATTGAAAAGAACAACACTACCAGCCGTAGAAAGCTACCTGGCCAACACATGTACATTAGGTCTTCAAAAGGTGTATTTAAATGTCCAGGATTTGTTTCCATTTCCCTGTAGAATGTTCAGTTGCGTGAACCTGTCGGGCAATTCAGAAGATGTTTGTACACTTCAACACAGCATGAACTGCTTGACCTTCATGTACTTGTACATGTATATCCAGAAGATGTGAAACTATTTAACCTGCATTTACTTTTTGGGGACAGGACCCCTTTGCATCTGGCTTGTACCAAAGCAGACAAGGATATCATCAAACAACTCATTGAACATGGGGCTAACCCAAGACTAAGGAATAAAGATGGTTGGAATGCTCTCCATATTGCTGCCAGGTCAGTTAGCTGCCCGATCACATAATTAATTGGATGTTTCCTCTGGTAAAGTGTTGGTGGGACGCCCAGGACATTTTCAATCCAGCAGTTACAAAAAGCAGAGGATGTCCAGCATTTACAAGGGGTGAAGCATCCAAATTGAAATTGAAGTGAACCCGAAAAATGAGCTGTGTGATCATTTCTGTCAGACAAATTCTGTTTTAGAAGTTACTTTAAAAATTGTATCTTTAAGGTCAGTTAACCACTCAAAAACAAAAGATAAAGCAGGGGAAAAGGAGGAGCTACATCTCACCCAAAAGGGGGGGGGGGTGAGTTCTTGATGAGATTTCCTCTGGGTCTGCTACTGACATTTTTTCCATCAATCACATTGTAATTAACATTTTACTGCAGTCTACTGAGAAGGATCAGGTTGTTTTACCTTTTAGGGAGGGACACGTGGATATTTTGACCTATCTTCTGGACTGCATTCCTGACCTGTGGGACACGGTCAGCAAAAATGGTCGGACACCTCTACACACAGCAGGTACTGTCCCCGTGGATGGGAATTTAAAAAAAGAAGAATTACATGTAGCATTCTTTGAATCAGAAGTCATATTTGACTAGAAGTTAGGTTACAGTTGAGAGATGATGATTTGCAGAAGAATTCCACTGTTACAATTTGTTTGAATAGTTTTTATATACTTTACACCAGTGTGTATGTTCATGGTGTATTCACAGTGTGATCCGAGTGTTGCACAGAAAATCACAATTTGGCTCAGGCGGGATTTAAACCCACGACTTCCTGCTTACTAGCATTGACATCTTAACTTTGAAGTTTGTCAGAATTGGCTGGATGGTTCGAATCCAGTGAGGTAGTGGGTACCACAGTCAGTGGGTACCACAGTCATTGTGTGGTTTAGTCATTTTCATACAAGGAGCTTGCAATTTGAAATGAAGGCTTGATGACTTGTGATGATCTGGTGCGTGCTCAACTTGTTATGACTTGATTATACGCTCCACACAGCGATCCATGTAAACCTTCACTAGCCTCGTCCATGGTGTTCGATAAAAGTATATGATGTTAACTTGCCTGTCACTGACAGGTAATGATGCCCAGCAACTTTGTTCAATGCTGACAGGCTGTCAGTAACAAAGTTGCTGGGCAATATTGCACGCTATTGTTGGATGCTGGGAAGTCTGTCAAAGTGGAAATTTTTGCTTCATGACTTTGTTCAGAAATAGGAAGAACCACACAAATGAAATCCCAAAACCAGCCCAAACAAAACGGTACAGAAATCTGGTTTCCAGTTAATTCTTGCCATGCAGTTAACTACCACGACTTGGAATAAAAGATATTAGTCATCAGTAGTTAGTAATTTTCTGTCTGTTTTCCAATTTGAATGTGTACACGAAGTGTTTATTGCAGATTATAATGGATAAATTTATTTACCCTCGGCAAAGCCCTGCATGGGAAGCATAGGGCAGTGAGTTTACTTCTGACAAGAGGCAGTTATCCAGTTGATCAAGCAGACAGCTGTGGATCCACTCCTTTGATGGATGCACTGAGAGATGGCTTTGTTGATATAGCTCAGCTTCTTGTAGATCAACAAAAGGTACAGTCAATATGCCCTGGCGCTTGAAAACTGTGTTTATTCAGGACGTTGATGAATCCAATAGGCTTGCAGTGGGGGCAAAAGGAATTTGGGTTTTTGAAATAAAAGGAGAATGTGATTTGGGGATTAATCATTTCCCCTCCTTCTCAACGCATATGAAGCCCCAAAATGGCCTCGGCCCCCCCCCAAAAAATTTCTTAAATATTTTGCTCCCTCCAAAATAAAAATTTGGTTTAGGATCTGCCCTTGATACAGTGTGACATTAAAAGTACAAAGAAATTCCTAGAGAACAAAGAGAATCTGTGTCCAATGGCATATCCTGAAGAATGACCTACATGTACAAAGAAATCAAGAAGTTGACATTGTGCAATCCCTAGCCAATCATAGTGTCCGGAACAATCAGGACAGTACGAAATACCATCCTTGCTGTGGGAAGGACCTTTGAAAGTCCATTGGCTTTTACTGTATGCACTTATTGCTTCTACCTAATGCCTACCCAAGGGCCCTGGTAATTGCTGATTTCTTTGAACTGTCATTGGCTAGATCTTAGTGAACCAATTTACCCAGCTCAACTCTTCCACTTGTGCATAGAGTAGAGTATTGAGCTATCCATACTGCTTTATATTTCCTTCACAAGTTTTCATGAGAATACCAGGGGCCTCATTTGCAGCAAGGTATGAGATGGAGAGAACCCCCCCTGCTTTGTGTTGGTCATTGTCTCGCAGGAATCTGGGGAATTCCTTTCAGACATCTTGGGGGATGTATTAAGTAACAATAGTCTGGAATGTGTATAGGGATTCGACATGTTGGGGGGGTACCCCTCGGTCTCATTTCTTGCTGGGTATAAGGGGCCTATAGGCATGAGCATTTGCATTCTCATGAATATTCATGGCCAGACCTTCTCAAGAAAGTGGCTTGTGTCTTGTCCCTATGAACTTCTCCATTTTACCCATGTAGGCAGAAGTGCATAAATGTGACATACTGGGCCGAATGGCAGTACACCTTGCTGCACAGGCCGGCTGCCAATCGTCTGTCACTTTCCTTGTCAGTCAGCAACAGGTGGGTGTGGATACGCCTACCACAAAGGGTGGAAGCACGCCATTGCACCTGGCAGCCAAGGTTAGAAACTACATAGCAAGTCTTTGTAGCAAGTCTAAATTATGCAACATGATGACAGAACTCGGCAAACCTTTAACAAGTCGGTGGAATGTAAGCTCACTCTATGCACTAAAGAGTATTGAAAAAATTATATTCTTCATGGTCAGAGCTGTTATAATGCACTAGAAGTTCTATGAATTTTTTTCTCAGCAACATCTCAAGTTCTTCTTCAAATGAGAGGTGAATCCAGTCAAATTTATATTTTTCATTGGTACCATTCCAGGAATGCCATTTCACAATGCTAGAGACTTTACACTCTCTTGGAGCCAACATCAATGCTGTAGACGACAAAGGAAGAACGGGTATGGATGACTCAATAGATCATATGGTCTCTTGTTGCCCAAAGATGTACTTATCCCTCACCTGTCAGCTTCTTTATGTAGTGGCCGACACAAGTGGAAGGACAGGGGAGAGGAAAGGGGGGGGGTGTCCACGAAGCTGCCATTTATCAACGTCAGATCAATTTCCCAAGTTGTTTCCGAGGCTAATAGTTCAAGCAGGAAACTTTCCACACCTAAACAAATCTCATGACATCAGAAGTTGTGGCTTGATAGTGACATTGGTCTTCTAACAAGCTTGCTTGCTCTAAACTTGGCATTAGAATTGGTCCAGATTTTTGTGGTGTGATTACTTTCAATATTTTTTCCAAAGTTACAAAGGCCAGAAGTGAAACTTCAGAATTTAAAATCATCGAATCCATGCTTTACCTTTTGACAGTTCATATTTCCAGCAAATAACATGATTTCTTATTGGTTTTCAGCATTGCACATTGCTGCTGCTATTCAAAACCGAGCATGTGTGGAGACTCTGTTGAGATTGGGTGCGTTGGATTGCCCAGACAAGAGTGGACGCACACCAAGCCAACTTGTTCAAAAGCAAGACATTCTGAAACTCTTTGATATGTAGACAATGTGTTAGGACTGGACTAATTGAATCACACGAACAAGGGGATGCACACCAAGCCAATTGGTCAAAAGCAGGACATTCTGAAATTCCTTGAGGACACATGAATTATGTGTGGGGACTCTGCTGAGATTGGGTGCGTTGGATTGCCCGGACAAGAGTGGACGCACACCAAGCAACAATGTGTGAGGACTCTTGTTGAGATTGGACTAATTGAAGCACCTGGACAACGGGATGCACGCCAAGCCAATTGGTCAAAAGCAGGACATTCTGAAGTTCTCTGAGGACATAAATGTGTGAGGACTGTGATGAGATTAGACAAATTGAATCACCTGAACAAGGGGATGCACACCTAGCCACTTGGTCAAAAGCAGGACACTCTGAAATTCTCCGAGGACATAAATGTGTGAGGACTGTGTTGAGATTGGACTAATTAAATCACCTGGACAAAGGGGATGCACACCTAGCCAATTGGTCAAAAGCAGGACATTCTGAAATTCTCTTAGGACCTAAATGTGTGAGGACTGTGTTGAGATTGGACTAACTGAACCATTTGGACAAGAATGAATGCACATCGACCCAACTTGTCAAAAAGCAGACGTTCTGAAACTCCTCGAGGACACTTGAGCAGTTATCAAATAAAACTTTCATTTACATTACTTCTTCCTTTCCAGTCAGTTTACCAATTGTTTAGAGATCCTACTATTGGAAATTTTGCAGTGGACGCTTACGTTTTGCATATTTTCACATGACAACATCTGAATGTTCAGAATATCTCGTTGTTGTTCTTTCCTATATGTAATTCTTGCCTCTGCAGCCATGCATTAATATGTGTGATGATGAACGGCTGTGAAAGAAGTGACCTACAGTACACTGTTAACTATCACCGGCTCCTTGTTTCACATTCAAAACTCATCATAAACATACTCATTTAGAACTCAAAACCTCTTACACTCAAAACAGTTCAGAGCACTTTGAAATATCAACTCATGGCATTATACAAATATTATGTATGGCTGTATTTGTGTGGCGGACGGCAATTCTTTTCCTGTTGTTTTGGTCATTATGTCAGTGGGGACCCAATTCCTTGACTGGACAGTCGGGTGGACTCTGAAGAAAGCAAGGAACGATTTCCCTAAATCCAAATGTGGAATACTAACAAATTATTACACAAACATGGATTCTGTTAATGGTTGATTGATCAATAATTGCTTTTAATTTCTAATGCAGTATCAGTATCGAGTTATTTTGCAGGGCACTATCCAACACAGTCACACTACATGTACATTTACATGTACGTAATACAGAGGATGCATCTGTGCACTTTATTTTTCTGACATATATACACTCATGTTGCTTTAAAATTTAAATTACATACTGCTGATTCTTTCTCACAATCACAAGAACAATAATCATAAAAGTTCATTTATTTCTTAAAATCAAATTTCGAGTTTGAGGTCGATTTCTGAAGAGCCTGCGTTCAAAAATGAAATTTCCACTTTTTACACAAATAGTTAACCACATTAACCTCAGCTGCAAAGGAGTGGTCAGAACCGTAAGATCCAAGTTGGTCAGCTGGCTATAGGTGGCTAGCCTTTTTTTAACCTGATTTATTTACCAATGCATCTTCTACATTCAACACCCTGTCACTGAATGTTATTCAAGAGGTAGAAAAATATATTTTTATAGAAAAACATGAAATCCAACACTTTACATTTCCAATTTCAAGAAGAGAAGATTTATATCATGAAAGCCTGGTTCATACAAGGAACTACAGTGAACGTGAACACAAACTTGGAACATCCTATATTTATGAAGCAAATTCACAAAAAGTTGAACACATTTTGGATTATGCAATCAATCTTTTGTTGTCAAATTCACTCAGCATTCACAATTGTGTCTGGCCTTTATGCTGCCTTCCATGAATAATCTTATCCAGTCCATGTTGCAACCCAACCCATCTAAGCAAATTGGATATCAACCGAGCTACTGCACTTTCAAGCTACGGATGCACAAATGAACTTTGCAGAAAAGAAACCAATGGAAACTGTGAACTATTCCATCTATATATTCATTCCCATGATCACCGTTACGTCAGACTGATACACATGTACATGTACATCCAAATGCTGAATAGTTTGCTATGTGTTTTTAAGTGCGCATATTGTACATACAACATCTACACGTAGATATGCCATGGACATGGAACCAAGACTACTTTTGGAAAAGCTTCAGGGTAAAGTGTTGGGAAATTCTGACGAAGAACCTTTTTGAATGAAAAAAATCGTCCACTGTAATGCTCTCCTTTTCAAGAAGCACCAAGCCTAAAGGAAATGGGCTGGATTCTGTTTTCTTTCATCCAACAAAATCAATACCTGGTGGATTTTAAAGGATCTAGGAAGGTAAGGGTCAAGCCACTGACAACCTGATATGCAGTGAGTACCATTCTTTGAGTACAATGTATATGATTTGAACAAATCAGGGAGGTCTGTGATAAAATAGAAACACCTTCGTATTTAGATTAGGTACATAGCTTTTTGGTACTTGTCTGAATGAGACAGTTCGAAATTCCAACAGCGAATGCCCAAACTGAAGTGTGCCCAAGGCTACTTGGGTACAGCAGCACACGCGGGCATAAGTCGCATGTGCTTGTTCCCAAAAGACCTTGCCTTTTTGAAATATCATAATGGCTGATTCTTGCATTATTATTATTGTTTATTTCTGGTAATGACATCAAAGATTCCTCAAAAGTGCCATAAGCACGGCAGTTTGCAAGCCTGAAGAAACCTGTAGAGAGGAAACAATGAGAAGCACTTTAGAGTTTTAGAGGTAAGAGGAAAACCCCAAAGGAATATTCTGGGTAAAACCCACGGAATCAGGTAGGGACTGAAAACCCCATCCACATGTGGACCGGGCCGGGAATTGAACCCGGGACTGCAGAGGTGGAAGACGAGGAAAGAACCACTACGACAACCTGACTAGCATCTTTAGTACAAGAATTCCTAGACAAATTCCATTCAAATTTCCCCCAAATCCTTTGTAAACTATAAAAAGATCTTAACATATTGAATGAAGGTGTTCTACAGTTCCTATGTGGGAAGAATGTGACAACAGTGTGTAAAGAAATTTGGCAATATTCATATGCATGAATCTGGCCCGTGTTGTAATTGCAATGCATACATTATGACAATCAAATTGCAATATGTAATTCCAACCTTGGCAGATAGATATCCCATCTGGGTTACACCAACGTGAAATCCTTCATTAAGTACTGGAGGTAAACCTGGCCTTGTGTAGAGCCTCTGCCTTGGCTTTCAAAACCACAAACTCTTCTTGGATAATATCCGTCAACTTCTTTCTGATTTCGAGCTGAAAATTAAAAGAAATAAACTGTAGCTTCACAGTCGTCTGTTACAGAATTCTGTGACATTTCTTTCTACTGCATCGATGCCTTTCTTGCAACCTGGGACAACGTCATGGAGCAGTATTGGCTGCAATGCCCAACCATGGCACATGTATGCACGAAGGCGTCAAACACTCGAATGCCATGGTCTGGCAAGCAACGGGGTCACTGACCTCAGGGGATGATATATGTCGGGCTCCATGGGTCAACTTTGATCTGCGTGATCGCTTGATTTTTACGCAATTGGTTGAACTTGTTGCGCAATTTGTTGATGGGATGTCAATCATATTTATTGCATGATTAACAAATCATGCAGATCAACTGATCATGCCTAGCATATACACGTCACCAGCACCTGATACTACATAGAGGGAGATTGCTATGGTGTGTTTATGGGTCCTCTGTAAACTTGTCCAAGAACTCTTTAGAACATAATTAATGGCTCAACTTACTGGCGACTTGCCTTCTTCTCTGAGATGTTGCAGAGCTTCCCTGAAATCCAACGGCTTGCCGATCAGCATGGTGATCTTCTTCCCAAATTTGGGGATGTATGGCTGATGGTTGGCAAGCACCTCGTCCATCCCTAAATGCCAGAATGGAATGACCAAGGGCAGCACTCTGCTTTCAGCAATGGCTCGTCCTACTCCTATAAACAGGGGGTAAAAGAACACTCATTGGTCACTTATTACTTGGGAAAGAACGATGAGAAACACAACATCCGCATAAAACAAACTCGTTGGTTTTTACCACTGAAAATATCTGTGTGTTCATGTGTCATTTGTATTTAAAGTTTGTTTCGAGAACATTGCCACCTGTCTGTGTTTTGTATTTTGCAGCAACTCACCCCATTTTAATCTCATGAACTCCTTGTTCATATTCACTTTGCCTGCAAAAAAACCCACAAAAACTGGCACGTTAGTCTTTGCAAAAAAATGAAAACCATACAGCATGAAAATGTGACAACGATTCTTCCATGCAACGTGATATTCGGAAAGGGAGCGGTGTAGCTGGAGAAAAAGGGGCCACACAGAATTACAAGCACCCACTTGTATTTTACTGAGCGATGCTTCCCTGTTATGCCGAGATTTTATGATTTGCGAGCTTTCGCTCTAACAGTGGGGTGAAGTTGTATCAGTTAAGGTCAAGGTTTGAGGACTTCACACGAGCATACCTTCAGGAAAGAAGTGAACCCAATGACCTTTATGCAGCTTGTCAATGCATACATCCATGGGATGTTGGTACACACCATCTCCTGTATATCACCCAAAAAGAATTCTGTGATTATAGCTTAATTTTCCGCAATCATTATGAGAAACTCTAATTTTCACATTACCAAAAACAACTTATCACGTTGACACTGATCGATGAAAGTATCAGAAAATGAAAGGATACTGGATTATTTTGAATTCCTCATTTTGGCCTTTAGAGGAGCAGGAGAAACTGCTCAACAAAGGAGTTTGTTCTGAGCTTCTTTGGAAAAATTCTTGACGACTATCACAGAGAAGTGATTTTGTTCAAGTATTTTAATGAGTCGATTTAAGAGACAAACGAAGCACCAACCTCTCACTACTGGGATGCCTTGTCCAAGACTGAAAAAGTACACATGCCATTTCTTTGTGCAGGTTATATCACTGGCTATCGGACACCTGTTTAGAAATGCCAAGATGACTGGATTAACCAATTAACCTCATAATGCAACTTTCTTGTGACATTTGTTAGGAAGCTTCTGCAAAACCGATGGGACATTTTATTCTAGGTTTTGCCCTTACTCCAACTGTATGAGATAAGAATGTTCCAAGAGTTGGTATTAATATATTATAATTGACATTAATTTAGCTTTGCGTACTTTTCAATAAAACTAAGTTATGATTTCTTCTATCCTTCAAACAAAGTACTTTTACAAATACTGTGATGTTTTCAGCCTCTTATTCCACACCGCCTTTTATTTAAACCGTTCATGCCTTCATTTTTCTTCCAATGGAGCCTTTGATCCAGTCTTCTGACAGACTTTCAGAAACTTGAAAATAGACACGCAGAAACTCTGGATAACAGCTTACCATCTTGTTTTGTGTGGATGACCCAATCCTTTCATTTTTAGTGTTCCTGCGAGACAAAAACAAAGCAAAACATTCAACAGTCAATTAAAACAAGTTCCTTTCTGGATGTCTTTGGACCAAGCAATATACCGAGTCCGAGACAAAAATCAATATTCACCCTGACTCCTGAACACACAGAAGAAACTATACTATGGTTTTCTAGAGAGGCTAATTTTTTCGATTTTCATCACACTTTACCCTTCATAACATTTCAACCTTTGCATGTACATTACAAGCATAAGTCAATGGCTTGCTACATGTACACAGCAAGGGTCAACACATTTTTCTTGACAAAAAGCTCAACAATTTTATCTTAAGTAAAATGTGTCATAATTTTATTTGTCCTTGGTAATTCTTCCAGTAGAAACATGCATATGCATGTATTAGGTACAAAGGGGGTCCATTGTGCAGTAGAATATATGCATGTAATCAGGTACTTAGGGGTAATTCAATCAGTAGAATACATGCATATGCATGTGTAGGTACAAAGGAGGTAATTCGTTCAGTAGAATACATGCATATGCATGTAATTAGGTACAAAGATGCAAGTGCACAGTAACTGATAAATGTGCAGAGTACTATGTCATTTTAGAAGCAGTTTCGGAAAGAGTTCCGTACAAACACATCACTTGACACCCTGTGCACAAACCCAGTAAGACGGGTGCAAAAATTTCAAAGTCTTTTTGAAGTAAGTGATTGGATATTTTCCCTGCTTTTTAGGGAATGCTATCACTTTCTGATGGTTTAAAAACCACTGCCAGGTAAAATAAGTGATGTTTGTATATGGAACTCTGCAGTTTGGCCATATTTCACAATAAGTTCTACAAGTTCCAGTGTTCCATGTTAAAATCTTGTTTGAAAAGTGCATTGTCTGTCTTACCCCACAGCATCGGATCAAAGCAAGAAATATGGTTTCCAACTGTAATAAGGGGTCGTTCTGGTGGTCTCTTCTCCACTGCATTGTACAGAATGTCTAGGTTGTGTCCTTGGAAATGATTTGCCCAATCTGTGTACAAACACAAGTCTTACAACGTTGTGAATTTGTATTTGTAATTGTTGATCATGACAGGCCTAAAGTCAGTACTAAAGACTAAAAGTAATGCGAGTAGACCTAGTACGCCCCGGCAAAATACTTACTGAGATAAATGCGACTAATAATACCCGTTCCAATGATCATGAAACGGGATCCAATTCTCCAAAATGTCCCTGGCTTTTCAGGAATGACGAACTGCCATGGTTCGAGGGGCATATTTGTGTCGAATCATTAAATTTACGCAAACGACTATCGTTGTCGACTGTGGCCAAAGCTAAGTGCCGGCCGTATCGTATTAAATATCGCCCTCTGTCATGTCGTCGAGTCCAGTGTGAACAGCAAGTACCAGCCGCCTCTGAGGGCGTGGCAGCGTGATGGGGGCGTCGCCTATTTCGGTACAGTCAAAGCGCTGGAAACCAGCAGCACTTGCGCTTGATCCCTGCCTCAGCCAGAGCCAAGTAAAATGGGCTACTTCCTTGAAATCCAGTGATGACTTGAAATATAAGCTCAAGAACCGCCCCATGAACAATGACCAATGTTTTAAGGAAAAAAGAAAGGAGCACGCTCAGAATAAGAAGACTAAAAGGAATGATCTCCTTGCACTATTTCCAAAGGATTAAGTAAAAGCATATAGGGCTACTTGTGGACTTGGGAGCAAGGAAAATGTGAGGAGTTAACACACTTGTAGCAGTCTATCAGTTGTGACTGTTCTGTGCTAATGTGCAACATGCTCCAGTCCGTATCTCTCGGATTCTTATCTTCATACATGTATACTTCCGATCGCCAGCTCTGTGTGGTCAAGAATTTAGAGGTCGCCTGATTACAAAAACTTTTCCTAAGGACAAAATATGAAAGAACATATTGCAAAAGAAAAGAACTGAACACATAAAACGAAGAAGCTACATATTCAAGAGATAATGTGACAAGAAAAATGAAGGAAAATACGCAATTTCTAAATTTCAAAATTTATTTTAAATCTATTTTAATTTCAGTGAAAAAACACACTCTCCAAAGAGAGCATTTACTTTTATATTCCATAGGCAAACCCACTTCATAGTTTTTCATCATGGTACACACATATACATATTGTTAAGCCCTAATTTTAATTTTTCAAAAAGTACTTTTCCAAGTTGCAAGGAGCTTGTGATTTAGTAGGACAACATTTTCATTTTGACTAGAACTGGAAATGTAAAAAAGAAAAAAAAAGAAGCTAACCAACAAACTTGCTCCTAAATATCCTAAATGTACATGTATATCAAATTACATAATTAATCACAGATAAATTAAGCAGTATACACATGTACTGGGACACTTTATATTAAAATATTGTATCTGGCCACAATGGGGCACTTAAATGTAAAAATATGATTGCTTTGAATTAGCCTTTTGCGAGTTAAATTTGAATAAAATCTGGTATAATGAGTTCTTTAAATTCAAGTGAACATAACAATTGGAATTCTCCATACTAAAGCCACTGTTGCTATATCTCTAATAATTCGGGGCAAGCTTTTCCTTAGTTACATAAGAGACGCCTTGCGGCAATACATTGTTCTCAATGGATAAGAAGGGCACAAAGGAACCAGTCCATTCCAGAGATGATGGTCGCTATGAAAAAGCTTGCCCTGAATCACGAGGTATAGCAACAGTGTCTTTAGTCTGGGGAATTTAAATTATGTTTATGTGCAATCGGATAACTCAGTGTACCAGATTTTATTCAAATTTAACTCGCAAATGGCTTATTGCAAGTAGTACCTTTCCTTTAAAAATAAAAATTCCTTAATAATATTTGTACCATTCAGTCAGTCATTAGGAACATTTTACACATCATGCATCACTCAAATGTCAGAACACATTTAAATTCAATTATGAAGAACATAAATGCATTAATGTAATTCCAGACAAAGTGTTTCTTGCTGTCATTAAGCATACAAGTGTAACAAACGAACTTAATAAAATACTTTGCTTTACAACTCAGGTGAACTTTTTTAAGAGGGGTGGCAGCTGTGACAAAATGTCACAAAAGCAAAAAAAAAAAACAAGGGAAAAAAGCGATGTATTTTTTGTTTTGTTTTTTAAGGTTTTATCAAAATTAAAAATAAAGCACACTACAGGATTAGTAACCTTGGGTTTGAGCCAGAAAAAGGCTATTAACCACATCATGTTCAAAAATACATGCATATCACCAATTGTTTGAAATGGAATATGTGAAATAAAAATTCAGTAGAGGTAATTTGGTCAAACAGGTCTTCCAAGGAAGCATATAATATTGTTGATAATAACTAGTGCTGTGAACAACCACACATCAGGGGTATACATCAAAGATCATATAGCGCCCCAAAGCGGCGCAAGATGGTGAACTTCACCAGAAACACACGTAAAACGTTGTTATCGCATAGGCACCATTTGAGCAAGCGATACGCCTGCGCAATGCACATTACTGCACAGGCGCAGGCGCCGCGGCAGGCACGTGCACCTGGTGAGCCTGCGCCCAAGCATTACTGTAAACTGTGCAGGCGTATCGCTTGCTCAAATGGCGCCCATGGTAATTACATCTTTTGGGCAGAGTGATCCATCTTGCGCCTTTGGTGCTTTACGATCTTTGGTATCCATGTATGTCAATCACTGAATGAGAATTTTCATTGGACTGCCGCTGAATCAGTCACTGAATCATTTCCATCAAGCTCTGTATCTACACGTAAATATATAATGCCAACATCATAGGCAACATGGTTTTTCCATGTATTTTGTGGTGGAAAGATGGCTTATTGGTAAAAGAAATTCAACAAAACAGAGGTAATGAGAAAACCACAACTTTGCTAGTACTCACAGTGCATTAAGTACAGTATTGTATCGTCCAAATGGCAATTTTACAAGAAATCAATTAAAGGACTGGTTAAATCTAAATTTAGTACAACTGAAATGGGTAAGTGGTAAATTTTGAAGAGTCAGAGAACACTTTGTTAGTGCGTATTCCATTCATTCATTCTGTGAAAATTCAAGGCACTAAAGTGTAAAACCTTGGTAGATACATTTGTGTTCATGCTGGAGATGCATGTATCTTAATTCCAAGATGTTTTCTGCTTGGAACATGTTGAAGAGCTTTCCTCCAGTCTTGGGATTCTCTCAGCTCACTCAAGATGGCCATCATCTGGTCTAACGTTAAGTTCTTGGTGCTCTTATGCCACTGGAGATGGTCATCCAGAGGCAGTCGCGCATGGACGATTCCTGCCTCCTCTGCCTTCCTGAGTGACACTCGACTCTTGACACACCTGTCAACAAAACCTCCAATGATGTAAACTTTGTTGGGGTTGTAGCCTGTGAGGACGTTTGGGGAGTCCGCTGTCAGGTAAACTAGCTCTTCGCTGACAAACACGTGCTGAGGGGGCTGTTCAGTAATGCTAACCATCAGGTTGTCGAGATGCTCTCCGTGAACACGCTTCAGTTCTTGCTCAGTGTGGCCATCATGGGCTACGTTTGTGAAGTGAACGTGAAAGGGGTCGCGCATAGTTTTGTTGGTTTTGAGGACAAGATTCAGCTGCATGACAGCGTTGATGAGCTCGCGTCGATCCATATGATGGTCGTAGCTCAGATCAAACACAATGGGGGGACCGAACATCAAACCTCGGGCAAGGTTCCACGTATTAGCAGTGTTCTCTGCGATAGACTGACCCTGGCGAACCAAAGCGTTCTTGACAGTCAAGTCTGGCTGTTGAAGAGTAGCTGCTTCCTGGGCCTTCAATTTCATTCTTGATTCCTTCTTTTTTGTCTTCTTAAGTTTGTGCTTCTCCTTCTTCAACAAGAAATTGAGGAATTTCTTTCTGCTGGTTTGAGACTGGAGATTGAGAAGGTGGTGCAGATCAAGACCATTTATACTCTCGGGATTTGGTTTTCCACGTAGCTTCCTCCACTGGATTTCATCCAGCAAACCTTGCACTGGGCCCATTCTTTTCACTGGTACGACAGCTGGGTTGCTCTGCAGACTGGTTAGAATCTCTTCAAGAGAGAAACGTGCATTGAGGGATTCATTTTGATGACTCTTTGCCACACAGAGGGATTGATGCAGTTTTGAGATTTCACACAGATTCAGTGTTGATGCTTTCTCCAATCTGACACGGTGGGTGGTATTAAGTAAGAGTCCATCTGGTACACTGACATCCTGCAGAACTGCTGCCCGTGTGCTATACCTTGCCGAAATACCTACATCTTTGAGATTACCGACAGGCGACCGATTCAAAAAGCTTAATCTGTGGGGCAGCAAAGCCCAGTGTAGCTTTTTTCCCCGCCGCTGGCCGGCTCGGTGTGGCTGGGTCTCGTTGAAGATTTCATAGAGGTCGGGAAGGACCTGGAGTAGCTCAGACGACGGTTTGACTTTGCGACGGCTGCGACAGATGACATCAGCCTGGGCCCGTCTCAGAGCTTGCATTGGGGTTCGCAAATGTTGCATTTCTCAATGGAGGAGTTGCAAAGCTGGTCTTATCTCAAACTTCCTCTTGGTACTTATTCTGCAAAGATGAAACCAATTAGTATGATGATAGGAATGATTTTGATAACGGCGCAACGGGGTGCATTTCCTTTTATTAGATTCTGGGATATCTTGAGATGTGTCCCGACGCTTAAAATATCAACAGGGCTTTACATGTATGAGTATGTATGAGTAACAACTGGTGCAAGTCAAGAGAGAAATCGTAACATTAATCATATATTCAAAGTGGAGCCAACTTCATGTTTGGCAACATACACCTTGTGACTTTTGGGCAACAACTGCAAAACTGGCTTTATATTTTACACAATTTTTAGTTCTTAAGTTTGGCATTAAGGGTACACATCAATACTTGGAGACTCTCCCCAAATTCAGAGAAGTCCCTTATTTGAAGACAAGATCAGTCCCCTAAAAGACAGAATGTCTCCTTGAAAGAGAACTTTTTTCCCAAGATGGCTCAGATAGAAAATATCCACATGCTATGCCTAATATCACTTTTTTCTCTTACACATTTAATTCATATAAGTTATTTAAGTTGTTTTTATGAACTTTTCCGCCTGTTTTTCCAACATCCCAAATATGCAATAGGAGTATACGAAAATTTGCTCCTTATGGGTCTAACAGATAGTGAGGCCACGCCTGATGCTAGCTACCCCAAGGACTGTGGGGTCAGACATCCACCCCACTCCCACCAGAGCAGATGTCAGATCCCACAGTTCTGGGGCTTTACAGTCACTTCGCCCCATTTCCACTTCACCCCTGGCCTAACCACATCGCCCAATCCCCACATCGCCCAATCCCCACTTCGCCCAAGCCCCACTTCGCCCAAGCCCCACTTCACCCAAGCCCACTTTGTCCCATTGCCATTTTGCCCCATCAACACTTTGCCCTAGTGTAGATTTAGTTTTAACCTACTGGTGAAGGTTGCAACATTGGTAGTTCATCTGCCCAGCCAAACTAAAGGTTCAAATTCAGGCACTTTGCCAAGGAAAATGTTACAATAAACACAATCACCTTAACAATACAGTATCAAGTAACGTGGCCAGGCAATAGGCCTAAACGCAGTGAACTCCTCAGCACCGTAAGGAGTGAAGTTATGCTGAAATTGTAATTGCACGTGCCTAATTTCACCCAAATATGATTATCGAAACTTTAGGGTAGCTGTTGACTATATCAAGTGACTATAATTGCTCAGGGAAAATGAAAAGGAGAGACATGCATTTTTATTTCTGTCTTTAAAAGCAAAGTTTCTTTGGAAACGGACTAAGAAAAGAAGACCTAGTGGCTCAAACAAAGGGATTAAAATGGAACAGGATGGAAGAGAAGATGTATCTTATGTCTACAGGAGATCCATTGAAGACTACAGCCTCAGGAGAAACTATGGAAATTTTAAGAAATGATATCGTTTTTTTCATTATTCCATTTTCAATATCAAATCTATTGCCACGTCTGCACGTGGGGTAAATACACGCCACAACTTAAGAAAGGCTCCTTGTTTGTGTCATGGTTTCCACGTTCATGCACGGCTGGAGTGAAGTGGAAATATGGGGCCAAATGGCGGCGGGGCGCTGTTGGGGTGGGGCAAAGTGGGGACGGGGAGAAATGGCAATGGGCCGAAGTAATTTAGGGCCGAAGTAATTTAGGGGCGAAGTGGAAACGGGCAAAGTGACCGACAGTCGACACAGAGAAGTATGAGTACTACATGTACATAGTAAAATTATTTTACTATGAATATGATGCTAGTTCCTCCACGCGCCACTGCACGCGCTTGCCGGATATGATTGAATGATTTGTGATCAGGTGATTGAGGCTAAGCACGTTCAGTTTAAGATTTCAATTATAGTTACGCCTAGTTTAGTTTACTCTTAACATTTTAACAAACTAAATAAACAAATAGTGAGATATATTACAATAACGTACCGCTACATGATGGACGTGAATACGTGGACTTTAACGTCAACATGGACAAAGTGGTTCAGATAATTGCGATGTCTCGGCGTTCTGTCGCATTTCATTACGGGCAGAATTCCGTGAGGTCACGCCGGTAAATTACGTAAGCTGTTGCCCTGGACTGACCTGTACGGCGATAAATGATTGAAGCGACAGGGGACTAGACAGACCTCCCACGTACCCTAGCCCTATCGGTGAGGGCGCTCTCTATACAATTTCTGCTGATTATGAACTCCACGCAACCGGAACCAGTGGATCAGCATGCACTCAATAGTTGAACATCTCAGTCACACCACTGTAGCATAAGGCTGCAATTTGTTTAAGTTTCAGCCTGCACAGTCTTAGTTTCTTTTTTTTTACGTGGCAACGTTTTAATCATCTTCCTTGAGGGCAGAGAGCAATGTGCAGAGGTGAAATTCTCATTGTCTGTTGGGAAAGAGTACTTCAAGAACTCTTGAGACACTACTCCGTTCCACCCCCGGGACTCCACGGAGTAGTGACTTGGGAGTTCTCGGAGTAGGGAAACAGTGGGACTTGCATGACGGGCAACACTAAGTTTTCCTTAAAATGTTATAACAGCCGTCAAAAATGTGACGTGTCCTAAAAAGTTTAGCTGAGAAAAATTTAGCAAAGAAAATTCCCAAGCATTATACTTTAAAAAACACATAGATTTTTTTTCAGACAATTGTCTCAAAGGTTTGTACACAAAGGCTTCAAGTTTTGTCCACATAATTATGCCATGGAACTCTCCAATTGTTGTTCAAGAGCTAGGGGCTATACAGTGCAGTCTTGATTTTTGTGCAAATTTGATTTGCCTTAAAAATCCATTTGCACAAGGGTCAAGAGCTGAACAACTGCGTAAGGACAGACGAAGATTCTGATGTTGTCATTGCTTTTGACAATGTTTAACTTGGGCATTTAGGGCCTAGAAGTAGAAGTAGTACATTGTAGCAGTTTCAAAAACACATCAGCTTTCTTTTCAGCTTATCGAGGAAGATGAGTTTCTTGTTGCCAAAGCTTACAACTAAGAAAGATGTGGATCACGTCATCAAGACCACAGAGGATGTGGTTCTAGTCCTTCGGTTTGGTCGAGATGCTGATCTGGTGTGCATGCAGCTTGATGATATAGTGAGTCCTGTTGAAAGGGTTACTCGCTGAGTAATACTTGGGGTCCCTGTTTCATACAGACATGTCAGATCCAGACCTGGGTCAGTGCTGGGTCAGTGCTGCTTCGCTTTATTCACTACATGGGATTAGATGTAATGGTGAATCATTGTCCAATCACAGATCGCGATGTGGATTCAAATGAGGCAAACAGGCCCTTGGTTGAAAGAGCTTTTGCTCACATTTAAGCTTAGTGGGACATTAGGCCTACTGCATGATGTACATGTATGATATGTATAAGCCTATCTACCCATGGATTCTTCTGGGATTTTGAGAAATGAATCCTAGGGCCTACATGGAAACGCTCCAACTGCAACTTTTTACGACACTGCTGACTTGTCTTACTGAAGATTCATTCAAATTTGTTTGGGATCAATCCACTTCTTGATAAAGTGACAGTGACATTTATTTATCACAGCATTCATAATGCACATGGTTACTTTATTTCATTTTGAAAAATGCTAACTGTGGACCTTTATTTCATTTTGTATAAGCCAAGTTTAATCACAGAGGGTACACAGAATCATTGGAATGTGAATTGTCGCAGGTTAATTGACATTTCTATTCATGGTAATATATCGGGCAGCCAAAAAGCTCCCCATTCTCAGGATTGGTAGCCAAGTTTTTGCAATTGTGGTGGTTATTTCCAGCTTTCCAAGACTGCTCATGATGTCTCCAAGATGGCCACCATCTACTGCGTGGATACAGAGTGTGTCCCCGTTTATACCCAGTACTTCGATATCACCCTGATTCCAGCCACCGTGTTCTTCTTCAACGGGCAGCACATGAAGGTGGATTATGGGTAATGCTGCATCATTTTAAGAACCCTTTTGATAGAATAAAACATTCAAATAATTTCTAACAAAATTGAAAACAAAATATTTTGTCATGTACCTGACAGAAAGGCATTTGGCAAATTATGTGACACAACTCACATCACAACAGATGGCTCCATCCTTAAGCCCTGCGCCAGGAGGCAATTTCAACATAAGCATTCCAGCAAGGCATTCCACAATATTAATACTGGTTTTGTTTTTTATTGTACATTCACAACCTTCGTACAAATCTTCAAAAGGCAATTTTCTGGTTGTCCGAGGTAAAGTATAACACATATGTGGATTTATAATAAATTAAAATCAAAACAATTTTTGACACAGTAATATGTCCCAGATCAGATTGTCATAGGAAAAAGGTGATATTTTTCAGTTTTTACATTTTTCCTGTCACTTCAGAACTCCTGACCACACTAAATTCATTGGAAGCTTCAAGACAAAGCAGGATTTCATAGACCTGGTGGAGGTGATCTACCGGGGAGCCATGAAGGGCAAACTGATGGTCACCTCTCCCATCGATAGCCGCAACATCACGCAGTATGAGCTGCTCTATCAGGATATATGAGGATCAGGGGAACATCAGCAAAGATGAACCCTGTGGCCAAGGCCGAGGCCAAGCCGAGGACTGAGACTTTGAGGGCAGAAATGCTTGCCAGACAATCTCCAGCCAGGTCCACCAGTCTTTAGCTAATAAAATTCTCTGAAATTTCAGCTGGCCAAAGAAGAGGGCTCGAGGTATGCCAGACGGCGCATTTTAAGGTCAAAATTTCAAAGGGAACTTTCAACCAATAGTTTGCACCCAAGAGTAATCCAAGGTGATCTAAATTAAGCGCATAAAGCTAGACTAGTAGCAGATATGACTTTTACAAAGGATTATTTTACTTGCGTGGACGTGATGGTGGCAGACAGAGAAGTTGAGAATATGAGATAAGATGCCAGAAGTTGCTTTTGGCACTTTAATCATGCAACACAAAAGATGTATGGACTAGTTATTTCAGAGTACAGAATGCTTTTGTTTTGGTGCACAATGTCACTGTCTTGTGAAGTCCTTGCTCAAGTGGTTTACCCTGGGTGTCTACAAGAATCTCTACAAATGCATTCAGGCTAGCTGCACTGTATATGGGGAATTAGGACAATATCAGCAAAACCTATATGAAAGAGCATATTGGTATCAAGTGTCTACTGACCCATGCTGATTTGTGCATCTTGTGCGAAGTTGTTGAATAGAAACCACACCATCTCTGATGATTTCAAGTTTAAAGTTTCCGAGAAGATTAGGTTTCCATAACCCGAAGAGCAAGGGTGGCACTGGAGTCGTTAAAACTTTGGTCCGCCCAAAAATGTGTAACTTTTGTGGTGATGTATGACTGAATAAAATTTACCAAAGAAATGGAAACCTCATGGGTTTATCTTGATAATGAAAGACATTTTTGCTTGTGCCTTTCTGAATTTTGTTCCTGTGGCCCTGAACTTTCATGCAGGATCAAGCACCCTGAAAAGTACATGTATTAACTGCCGGGTTACAGGTTCTCCCTCTTGCAATATTGTTCAAAGGCCCCCACAGTGTGAGAGGTTTTAGAGAGTTTGGATTGATCTGGATAGCACAGAGTACATTGGGAATGTTTTTAAAAACCAGTGGTCTGCACTGTGAATCAAGTAACTTGCAACAAAACAGTACAGCTGCACAGACAGCCGTCTTTTACATGGGCAGCGGGCAAAGCTTGTGCCATCACTGTGCCATGCTGAGGACGAGTGTGAAACGACACTGTGTGACTGCTCTATTTCTGGTAAGCTTCTGCTCACATCCAAGCGATGTACCCTCATTTGTTGCTGCAAGTCAGTTCTTGGTACAGCAAACCTACAAAGTGTAGACACAGGACAACCCCGTGCTTAGCATCACAGCTACCCAAAGTGAAACGGGCAAATCGCTCCAGTCAGTCCCCGTCAATTTCCTCCTCGTCGCTGAAGTAAGCACTTTGCTTGACTTTGGGTTTCTTGAGCGGAGGTTTTGACGAGGAAGATGGCGAGACCTCACTATAAGCTCCTCGTGCTACAATCTCTCTGTACTGTTCCTCTTCCTCCTTCGCTCGCTAGGAAGAATGAATAAAACAAATTAAACAAAATGCTTCTTTTCTTCATTGTGTTCCCGTTGACCACTTGTCAAAAATTGTTGACTATGTTGACTGTAACTGATTTTTTTTTAAATCTCACCAAGTTTACAGATGACTTCAACCCTTTTTTTTCACTTTTGAGTTTTCAAAGAGAACTTGGTACCATTTGGGGATTAAAGTTATCCTAAATTAAATTTATTCGCTGCATGGTGGCCAATCCTTTCAAAGTTTTTAAATTTCACACATATCTTGATCAGTGACTTTCAGTTGAGATCTGTACACATCCAAGAAATGGTACAAGAACTTAACGGCCATGTTTGTTTACCAGACGTTACGGAGACTGGGGAATTACAATTGAACACCTCTAATCTTCCCAGATCTTTCAAAGTCCTTGACACAATTGAAAATTTTGGAAAGGTTTTAGTAAAAAACCAAGAGAGTTATGTAAGGTTTATGCATCAGTGAATAATTACCTGGAAATCGATGGCTGCCCCAAGACTTTCCAAAGCAGGATCCTCACCTTCTGATTCCTCATCTCTGGAAAATAAAAAAAAAAAAATTCCTCAGAAAATATCTTTATGAAAACTCACAACATGCCCCTACAACTGGAATGGAAGGACTGAAACTCAAGCTGGCAAACACTGAGCATTTGAATTTTTATTCTTCCAATATTCTGAATTTAAGTAAAAGGTACTGAAAATAAATTGGAAAAGAAGTTGTAAAATTTTTTTTATGGCTGCATCCCGATGTTTGTATCTTCAACTTAAAAAAGTTGACTTTGATATTCACACAATGCTTAATCTTCACCAATTTTTAAGCCACAAAAAGCTTTCAACATTAACTGGGGTGTGTATTTGTTCCCATTGGCAATCACTTGATTAAGAAGCCATTTCACTTTTTTTCCTGATGTCTGCAATTTTTCAGTGCAACCTTTGAATCCTTGGCACTTCATGATTATAGTAGTTCAAGCCATCCATGAAAGAACTCACTTTGAAGTTTTTGGCAGTGGCAACGAGCTACGGATAGACCACTGGCCAGCATGCTTGGCTTCAATACTCACACGTCAATGGAGGTTGCCTGTCAGATTAGAGTCGACGCAGGACGGTCATTCTTTTGGGTGTACGCACGCAATAAATGAAGATATGAATTTTTGAAGAATTTTGAAAACGGAAAAAAAACTGACAAAGCGCCTGGCCCAACAGCCTGAACATGGATAATGGCCTGGCGCAAAGTGGTTCAGTGACCCACCCCCCTTGGTCTCTTACTCTGAGTCCCTGTATTCCTCGGTTGCTTCTTCGGTATGCTTCCGTTTTTTCTTCTCTTTCTTCTTTGGTGGTTCTCTGTCTCCAAGAGAGTTCTTGGGGCAGCTGTAACTCAGATGGCCAAACTCCTGACGTGGATTCAACCCAAAAAAAAAAGATGCAGTGATGAAATATGATAAAGAGAAACAATGCTGACGGAGATGGAGTCGAGCGTTTAACCCTCTGGTCCAGGCAGCAAACACAGCATGCTATCAAGCTGTGAAAGAAATCCACTGAGAAGAGGGTTGCAGCCACTTCAACAACTGCCTGGCTGGTCAATAACGATGACCCTCTCTACCCCAACAGGTGCACATCTGTGCTCCCGGTAGGAAAAAGGCAAGTAGGAGTAAAGTAACTCACCCAACGTCTCGACATATGCCTAAGCACTTGTATTTGACCCTCTAAGATTCGATGACTAGGAGTTACAAAGCATAACCACTTGGCCAAATACACATTTCCCCAAATTTATACTGCAACAGGATTAAAATATGTTAAATAATAAACCAACATCTTTTTTTGCAAGAATAATCCTCAATGCAGCAAATAACATGCCATGATAACATATTCGATGTTTAATGGAAATCTCCACGATTACGTAACATTAAACACGAGTAGATCATCTTCACTCACTCCACATTCGTAGCATCTAGTCTTATCTGGATAATGTTTCTTCCGGATGAATTCTGCTGCTCTGCCATTGTCTGTTGCGATGGAAACTTTCCATTTTCTGCCAAATAACTTTAAAAAAAGAACTCATTAATATCACGCTCAATGTATGTTACAAAAGGTTGACTATCACTCATTTAGGTGATACGTTGTTTTGCCTTTTCAACACAATTTAAAATCAACATTGTACAATACCTTTATTACACCTCTGTGTACATGATGTATTAACCCTAACCGTCAAGCATATTATTTGGCTTACACTACACAGTACTACAAAATACTAAGTAATAGTCTGAGCCTGAAGGACCTAGCACTACAGATTACTACTTCTGGCTAGGTTACTTCCACTGTTACTTGTACACAAAACAATAAAGCCATGCATTTATAGTGCCACAGCACTGTATGGTACATTGTCTTATCTATTGTATCTTATGGCTTCAGAGAACAATAAAGTCATGTCCTCTTACAAGCAACAGCGCTCAGTACTACATTTTACTACAAGTAGTAATTTGTAGTATTATGTGGGGTAGGGTTGATAGACTGATACAGTCACACCCATTATGTAAAAAGGCTGCTAACGTGCACACTTTTAAAAGATAGTGTAATGTGTGTATTAAAAAGTTAACTTTGCATACTGAGGTGTCGATTCCTGTAACATGCCATGGCTTTGTGGCAAATCGCGTTAGGATGCGGGGTACTTGAGGGTCTTTGTGTGAGCTGTGTTGGGTTGGGTCAGGAGGATTAGGTTGGGTTAGGACAGGACAGGATGGGGTTGGTTGAGTTGGGACGGAGTCAGTGGGATAGCAGGTGCGGAATCGGGATGGGTTGAGCTGGTACAGGTTGGACTAGGCATGAGGTTAGGTTGGGGTGTACAGGCGTGTTATACATAGTGTGGACCTCTGCGCAAAAGAAGTCCACATAATGTAGGGTGCGTTGTGTGGACTTGCATATGTCCACACAATGTTTTTGCCTCGCTGAAAAACAATTTCAGGGAATTTAGGGGTCAAGGTTATCTGTGGCAAAATGAAGAGGAACAGTTCAGGAAATCATCATCAAAAATCCAGCTCCAAAGAGTTATCCTAGTTGGAGAAAAAGGAGCATTTACCACAGGAGAACAAAGGAATGTCCATACTTTGTATATAAAACAAGTGTCGGTGGATTTGGTTGGGATTAAGTGGTTTGGGGGTGTTGGGTTGAGTTGGATTAGTTAGGTATAAGACAGGAAGGATTGGGTTAGATAATGTTAAGTTGGGCTTAGTTGGAATGGACCAAATTGGGCTGTTTTGGAGGCAGGAATCCAATTCTATTTCTCATCCACTGACCTCTCTCCCATTCAGCCCTTTGATTGCCTTGTAGCAGGATTCTCTCTGAAGAAAGAGGATGAATGCCACACCCTTACTAGTCCGTCTGTCTTTGTCCTTGACAATGGTCACTCTGCCAAGGGAAAAAAATTTAAAACTGAACACTGAGGTGGATAGAAGGACCCAAGTTTTGTTCAATAAGGAAAAAAAATTCTGTAAGCTCCACGGCAAAGAAATTATCCCCACGATAATTGAGAATCTATGGTTTACAATTTCTCCACAGGATTGTTGGTGCATTTTGAAGACACTATTTGAATAATATACATATTGTTTGTAAATGTTTGAATAACAGGAAAGAGTTCTATATATGGACAACACTTATGCCCCTGTGCACAAACCTATGAGATTTGTCTGACGTTTTCTAAGTAAATGCTTATGAATTTTCCTTGCTAAATTTCACTTTTTAGGACATTCTGACGGCTGTTATAACATTTTAAGGGAAAATTAGTGTTGTCTGTTTATGGAACTCTGTTAGTTTTCCCATAAATGCAGACATTCCAGAGGCTACTGTTAGGTCATATGAAGATGATGCTGTTTCATTTATAAACCAATGTTGTACAATGTGTTCTGTTTTACTTACTTAACAACTTTGCCATACTTCTCAAAGATCTGTGATCAAAACAAAAGAGAACACGGTCACTGAGTAAATTGAGGTCAAAGACAAAACTTCATCTAAAAAAAGAGACCAGCAGATCACGCACAAAAGCCACAATGGTCAATCTCAAATATTCACAATTTTAGCATGTTTTTTTTTTTGAGCCTCACAAACACTATCAAGCATGTCAAGTTTACCCTCCTTTATTTCCCTTACCCAAGTAGGTTCAGAGTCAAGGAAGTAGAAGTTGTTTTCCTCCGAGACTGAACAGACCTTCAGGCCTGGTCTTGATCTTGCTCAAAAAACCCTCAAAGTAACAGTTGCTCCTATAAAACTTGGTGTTGTGGACAGCTGAAAACTGTGATGGTCCAATGTTGTTTTAAAATCTGGCGTAGAAGCATCCCTTGAATTTAATTCCCCAATGTTTGGTAGGCTGAATGAAAGATTAAGGCATAGTTCAACTGGTTCAGGCAAAGCAACACAAAAGCACAGCACAGAAATAGCATGCAAGCCTAGCTTTACCAGCAACTGTGACACCGAACAAGCATGGTATGCAGAGCTGTATGTACACATGTAGGGGCCTAGTGTCTGTGTCGGACTTACCTTATGCAAATCATTATTTGTTAGTGAAAATGGGAGGTTTGATACGTAACATGTCGTCTTACTCGGTGCAAGTCCAGAACTCATTGCAGGGCTGGTCGTTTATACAGCGCAGCGTTTCCTAAACTAAAGCTGGGTAATTTTTCCTAAAAAACAGTCATGACAGTCACTGGACTCCACCGGGCCCGCGAGCTGTACTATATCCGGTACATCCATGTCTTGAAGACACAGATTGAGGGCGCTGTTCTAATTTGATAGGGATAATGGATTGCCGGTTCAAAGCTTACACCAATCCCGTATCCCAGCCCCCAATCCTTGCGAGAAAGTGATCTGCAGCTAACTGCATGCTGTGCTAGGTATTTTGCATTTGTAGAGCACCTCTAAGGAAACATGTTTTCTCTGATTTCATTTTCAAATAAATGTGGAATCATCCAATTCGAACGCAGAGTCATTTGTCTTCATGAAGAGCTCAACTAACAACTGCTAAAAAGGGCTTCTGTTCATGCTAATAACAGAGGATGCTTGTTAATGTTGATACCTCGTCTCGGTTCGCACTATCAACCCCTTAAGTTTCCAATTTACACCGCCTAATTGTACGCTTTGAATCTGGAAGAAAATATATCCTTGTATGGGCATCCCTTGGGTGGGGCAGGGGGCAATCTCAGTACTTCAACTTCATCCAACCCCTTCCAATGTCGTGGGTTTTGTCATCCCCACCCCACCCCCCCCCAAAAAAGTCTATCCTGGTGATGCCTATACATGTACACGTACTTCCACAAACGACCAACTGATTGTCACTTCAGGCTAGTATGATGAATTGTTACTTTATTCAAAACGTCTGAATCAACAAAATGACAAAATTGAATTTGGTGATTAATATAATTTTTTTGAAAACAATTACGCTGTGGCTGGTTATCCAAATTCCTTGGGAAGGTCCAACAATGGATTGAAGCCTTGTCTATCTTGTCAACCAGGCCCCGCCGTTGCCTGAGCAGAGACTGGGGGAGGGGGGGTTCGTCAAACCAAAAGTGGAACTCTTGGCACTGTGAACACATATTTTTATACAAAGGCCTATCACAATGAGCTTTGGAATACAACATTGAAAAGTTGCATGTCTGTCGTGAACCAAAGGTTGCATTTAGACTTGGACATTGTAGTTTTCAATATTGAATAAACTGAACAAAATACATTGATTTCAAACCCTTTGAAACACCTAAAATGTGGATATTTGCCAGAACTTCCTGACGGTAAATATGACTAGAGATTGACTCATTAATATGCAAAATTGTGGTCAGCTTGTGCTTGAGAATCAACGCATAAGCCGTGGCTCGTATGCCGAATATTACAGTCTATTTAAAATATTCAGTAAAAAAAAAAAAAGACCACCAACAAGCAGAACTCAGAAGCAAGGGGGGGGGTTGTTCGAACCCCTCAAACCCGCCCCCCCCAGCCTACGGGCCTGTCAACAGTCCAGTATATGACAATACAGTCATTTTGTATGTACATATAATGGAGTGAGTTCTGTCAGTATCAACCCAGTACAGGATAAATAGAGGAAGCAGGGATTAAAGAGTGTACAGTTCACCTGTTAGGGCAATTTTGCATCTTTTTTTTTTCTTGCATTCTATGCTTCATGAGCTTTCTGCGACCAAGTGCCATAAAGAAACCCTGATAATTCTACTGAAAAGCATACCTATTTGACCTCAGTTATGCAAAAATGCTGAAGTCCGACAAGGGCACAGCAGCTCTCCTAAACTAAACTAAAAAAGTTGAAAAGGCCAATTTCCCCTCAGCAAATATTCTAAACAGATAAGTCTTACTAAAGGTACGATTACAGCCCCTTGTTACCAGTAATTTGTCTGTCCAACCATCTGTGTATTTCCTTACGAGAAAAAAAGTTATGATGGACTGCACCGCCATCTTGTTATATACATGTAAGTGATTCTCATCTTTGCTGGCGTGTTCCTGTGCCGACCCCAACGATGTAATTAGTTGAGGCACATACTGACCAAAGGTCAATTTCTGCCACGAAAAACCTCCTAAAACCAGCTGAAAGTAACCCTCGATAGTTTCTCTTTTTTTTTCTCTCTTTACAAATTGTGCAGCCAAATTAATGTGCTTCACAACAAGGTCCCTAGCAGCGGTTATCCTTTAATGACTGCGATCGGTCTCAGCTTAATGGCCTTCTTGCTGATGTTGGCCATGTGACAGGTATCCACCACGTCTGTGACATTCTTGTACGATTCTGGTGCCTAAGAGAGAAAAGATGGATATTCTTCAAATAAAGTGCCACTTCATGGCATTGTAGAATAGCCCTGTTTTTATTTTGCTATTTTATACGGTAGACATGTTACAATGTAATTGTTATTGTAATTTTGATTATAGTTTAATTTCTTAAGTCGTTGGACTCAATGGGAGACTTTGAGATGCTGGTGGCAGCAGACATACCGGTCCTTTTTCAAGGTGCACATGCTCAGAACTGTGCATACATGCTCAGAACACTGTGCACATGCTCAGAACTGGTAAAAAGGACCGGTATGTTCATCGCCACCAAATGTCTCAAAATCTTCCATTATATACATGTATATAGATCCGCGTGTTGCACGTAACTGGACAAATTTCCTGGAAAGGAAGAAATAAATTCAATGCAGTGCAATATGACGCAGCGCGACGTAACCAGACCAAGCCAGATGGGAGGGGATAGGACCAGAAACAGGAAAACTTATCCTGTAATTTACCTCCTCCATGACGAGTTTAGGAGAGGCAACTCGGATGGAGATACCTTGGCTTTGAAGCTTACTAAGCACGGCGTGGTAGTCCAGGTTACGGCGTGATTTGGATCGGGACCAAGCACGCCCCTGGAAAGGCAATAATTGACAGAAAAAGATTACCTCATGACGTATTCGAAACATTTCCTGAAGAAAAAAGTGAAGGCAAATGAAAGCTTCACGTTAC